GGAGGAGTGCGGAATCAAACCCGGCTCTCCCAGATTAGAGTCCACGCACTTAACCATTATGCCAAACTGGTGCACAGAATCTAATCTGGGAGAACCGGGTTTGATTCCCCACTCCTCCACTTGCACCTGATGGATGACCTTGGGCAAGCCATAGTTCTGGCATAGCTGTTCTTAAAAAAGAGCAGTTTCTGTCAGAGCTCTCTCAGCCCCACCTACCTCACATGGTGTCTATTGTGGGGAGGGGAAGGGAAAGGAGTTTGTAAGCCGCTCTGAGACTCCTTTGGGTAGTGAAGGGCGGGGTATAAATCCAATCTCCTCTTCTTCTTCTTTTATTGTTTTTGAAGTTACAATTACAAATTACACCTGGGGGGCCAGTGAGTGTGGGGTAACAATGTTGCAACTAAAAGCTAGCTTCTTGGTGAAAGAACAGATGTACAATACAAAATGTACAAGTTTCTCTCAGTACAGGGCTGTAAATATTACTGGTTTCCACACTGTATCTACAAGCTGGATTAGAGGACAGCACCTTTTTCACAATTAAAGAGCCAAACTATGTTAAAATTGAGAGCAAGAGATCAACCAAGAGCCCAGTATAAGGAAGTCCAATTGCACATCTCAAAATACACAGCTTGACATGAAGGAGAACTGATGTGCTGATAAAGTTTCTGAGAGTCCTATATTGGGAAGTGGCCCACCAAAGGTTTCACAATAAGTAACAGGCATACCCAGGAGGACCCTGTGCATTTGTTTTAGTGAACAGGCATTAGTCTGCATGTCATTCACGATGAGAATACTAGCAGTGATTCCCTGCTATCGTTTCCCTTTCTGCAAAGCATTTCTAAGAAGCTCTTTAGTCCCACACAAATCTTTGGTTTTGTTTCCCATCGCTAGCTGGTTATTCTAACATCCCACCTACCCCTCCAATACACCTTTGCTTAAATATCTGATGGGGGGGGGGAGATCCACATTTTGTTCCATAATGGGCCTCAGGCTGCAGACGTCTGAACTAGGTGCTGGCTGCTAAGAACAAAACAAAACAAAAAAACCCTGGAGTTTCAATTAGTCTTGTACCCACCCAATACTGTGACTCAGTGGAGTGATTATGACATTCTGCTAAGGCTGCTCACTGCTAAACCAAGCTCCATAAAGGCAGCAAGGACTCTGCATCCCTCTGCACAGCTACGGCCGTGAAGTGCAGTGGTTAGAATGCTGCATTAAAAGCAAGGAAATGTGACCGCGTCCCCACCCTGACGTGATGCTCACGGGGTGACCTTGGCTATTTCATAATTTTCATGGGGGGGGGGAAATGCAGGCGAGGAGAACAAAATACACCACCTTTAAACTCCTTGAGGGAACAGTAGGCTAAAGATGTAATTGACAGGGGAAAGATTGACATCGTCTACTCTGCGCGCTGAAGGAGAAAATGAGGAAGGGAATAACTGAGCTCTGAGTTCTTAGGAGGAAGGGCAGCACATGAGAAACACACAGATGTTGCTTTTATTATTAGGCACAAAAGTATAAGTAGTAGTTAGCACCTTAAAGACCAACAGCATTTTCCATCTGATGAAGTGACTTTTGACTAATAAAAGGCTTCTGATCGGGAAAATTTTGTTTGGTCTCTAAAGTTCTATTGGACTCTAAATTTGTTCTGCTACTACATTACTAACATGGCTACCCACCTGAAACAATCTACCAATTATTAGTAAAGGTAAAGGTTCCCTTGCTCAAAAGCCAGTCGAATAGTCGAATCCGACTCTAGGGTTGTGGTGCTCATCTCCGTTTCAAAGCCGAAGAGCCAGCGCTGTCCAAAGATGTTTCCATGGTCATGTGGCCGGCATGACTAAACACCAAGGCGCACGAAATGCTGTTACCTTCCCACTGAATTGTTACCTATTTATCTACTTGCAATTTCTTGCTTTCGAACTGCCAGGAGCTGGAACTAGAGACGGGAGCTCACTCCGTCATGTGGCACCCGGGTCTCAAACTGCTGAACTACTGACCTTCCACAGCCTGCAGTTCAGCGTCTTAACCACTTGAGCCACTGCAGCAACCAAGTATTAGGCAGCCACTATCACAAGCCTTAACAGTCACAGTAAATAAGGCTTCTTGAAAAACATATTGTCTGATTCATAGAAGGGGAAGCAGCCAGCCTTCACACAAGCAGAAGACATTTCCTCTTATGCAAGAAGAATCCACGGTTTCTGTCGATTTCTTTCTCAAGCTACAGCCTCCCATATCATTCCTCAAGATCCACGGAAACAGCAAGAGGGAGACACCAGAGATCTCTTCCAGGAGTGGAGCTCTGCTCACTGTTCTCAGGATCCAGTCTGTATTTTCTTATATACTGAATTATTGAGGAGTTTATGTTTTGCCTTTTAAACAAGGCTGTCATGAACATTTTTAAGCTAGTGGCTCTGTCATCTCCATTGACCACTCCTTCTTAGGAGGTTCTGAGCAAGATGTCTAGAGCTGCCCCAAAATAAGCTTAATATATTTCGTGATACTCTGGGGGCATGAGACGTTTTACATAATCCATGCGGCTGTACTAGGTTTGCAACCCTATTATAAAGCATCTGTGCTCTTAACACAATTCCACCAGACAGAGATAATCTCTCTTAACATTATTACAAAACCAATTACTTCTATAGTTTAGATAGCATATGTTATAAATGCTATTGAATGACTACCTTAAAATGGTAGAAAAGAGCAAGAGTCCACTAGCATCTTCAAGACTAATAACATTTGTGGCAGGGTATTAGCTTTCGTGAGTCAGTGCTCACTTCTTCTTTAATGTACCACTGGACATCGGCTCTTTGCTACTGCTACAGACAGACTAACACGGCTAGTCATCTGGATCTAGCTTTAAATGGTGCGTGAGATAGAAGGGTGTGTGTACTATTGTTGGCTCCTGACATGGAATTCTGGAGAGGAAACAGCAATGAAAATTCTACATCACCAGAAACCACCCTGGTTACTTGCCTTCTCTCAGAGGGACAAACTGCTCCTTACCTCAAGCAAGTCGCTATTAGTAATAATTTTGGAAAAAAAACATGAGAATGCACCATTTTGGCTCAGCCATCATGCTTAAACACTGTTGATGAACCATACGATCTGCTAAGCCATGCAAAGAATATCACACTCATTGTGTGTGTGTGCGTGCGCAAACGCACTTGCTTTCAGACCATCAGAGCACACCACACCAACACCTACCATATTTATAGAGCAGGTTTTGTCGGACTGTGGCCATGGAAGCGATGAGAGATGCAGCTTTGTACGGCGTTTCCAGATGGTCAGAAATCGTGCAGAGTGAGCTCAGCACTTTAGCAATGCTCCCTCTGGCGAGAGCAAATGCCAACGTTGTGAGCTCTACCTCCGGAGAAGCACAACAACTAGGAAAGGGGAGGGGGGGGGGGAGAAAGATCTGTAAATTCAAGCATGCAGTAAAAAAGTTTTTAAAGTTGGCATCTTAATGTTACTCGTATTTTATTTAGTTAGTTATTCTATTCGAACACTTAAATCCTGCCTTTCCTCCTGGTTCAGGCACAAACAGGCACACTGAACACACTTCCAAGACTTCCAGATCTGCATATATTTTGCGGCATTTCAAGCACCAGAAGCCTTCTACATGTTTGGCAGGCAGACTGCCCTACATTCAATGCACGGCATCTCCAAGGGTAAAGGATCTCAGGTAGCAGGACTAAGGAAGTTGCATCTCAAGGAGACCACCTGCCAGTCAAGTCGGAAATGAGCTGGAGAGAACAATGTTCCAATTCAGTATAAGGCAGCTGAAGATGTCCACATGCATTAATATAGGTAAAAAAGGTAAAAGTTCCCTTGCTTGAAAGCCAGTCGAGTCCGACTCTAGGGTTGCGGTGCTCATCTCCGTTTCAAAGCCGAAGAACCAGCACTTTCCTAAGATGTTTCGCACGGAACACTGTTACCTTCCCACCAAAGTGATACCTATTTATCTACTTGCAATTTCTTGCTTTCGAACTGCTAGGTTGGCAGGAGCTGGAACTAGAGACGGGAGCTCACTCCGTCATGCGGCAACTCTGGTCTCCAACTGCTGAACTACTGACCTTCCGCAGCCTGCAGTTCAGCATCTTAACCACTTGAGCCGCAGCTCCTTGCATTAATATGGAGAGGCATAAATTTAAAGCCCTGTGTTAGATAGTCCAGGCTAGCCCGATGACATCAGATCTCGGAAGCTAAGCAGGGTCAGCCCTGATTATTATTTGGATGGGAGACCACCAAGGAAGTCCAGGGTTGCTATGTCAGGGCAGGCAATGGCAAACCACCTCTGAACACGTCTTGCCTTGAAAACCCTGTGGGGTCACCATAGGTTGGCTGCGACTTGACGGCAAAAGAAAAAAGTTTAAAAGAAGCGCGTTTAGAAGAGAACAACCAAATAAGGCAAGCTATATTTTTAGGATCTTGGGCTGAAGTTTGTTTTGCTAGAGGACCAGTCTGAGTAGAGCAAGCGAGTCCCTGTGGATCAAGGCTTCACCTCCCGCCCTATGAAAAGAGCCTGCGAGAAAATGCTGTCGTCACCAGCCCTCACCCTCCCTACAAGGCCTCTTTCGCTTCTGAGTTAGCTTGCAGTGGGCCTTGGTAGCATTGCTAAGGGGGTCAGATTCAGCCCTGGTGCTACCAGTTCCTAGTTCATCCTTTAGGAAACATCGACTTATTTCTGTGACAAATGTGCCCTCCCCTTTTACATCTGCAGAACTCAATGGGAAACAGGCTATGTCTGCCCAGTCCGGCTACGCACCCACTCAATTAGGACAGGTAAGTTCTCGTGGATGGGTAACTTGCAAGGCGTGTCATAATACAAGACCCATTATTCCTTTCCTTTCATTTATTAGCTCCATTGACCGGAGGTCTTAAGCCAAGACCCACTACTATGAAACAGGGAGAACAATCCCTTGGTATCCTCTTTCCACACAATTACAGTATAAGCATTTATCACGTCCTCCTCCTTTGCTGAGTTAAACTCAAAAGCCCCAGTCTTTGCTCAGCCCTTTTCAGCACCCATCCCCTCCTAATTTGATGGTGTTTGTTATGAATGTACCTGGTAATTCTGAGGAGGAAACTGTCTACTTCTTCCAAAACATTAGGAGACAAAAAACTTGAGAAGTCCGTGGAACCGGGCGACAGAGACAGTGGTGGCATATGCTGCAGGGCTTTCCTAAAGAAGAGGGGGAAAGATCATCTCATCAGAAATGACGCAACAAAACCATTGCTAAAGCTTAGAATGAATGAATGAAGCTGTGCCCGCTGCAAGATGATATTGAAAGTGACTGGGAACCTCTGCCCTTCTGGGCACCTGAGTACATTTTACACATGCCCCATGAGCAGGGCTGTCAGCTCCGGGTGGGGAAATACCTGAAGATCTGGGGGTGGAGCCTGGGGAATGTGGGGTTTGGGGAGGGGAGGGAGCTTGGCAGGATATAAGGCCATACAGTCCACCCTCCAGTTGGCAACCCTACCCATAAGAACATAAAGCCAATGTTGGATCAGGCCAATGGCCCATCCAGTCCAACCCTCTGTCACACAGTGGCCAAAAATACCAGGTGCCATCAGGAGGTCCAGCAGTGGGGCCAGGACACTAGAAGCCCTCCCACTGTTGCCCCCCGCCCCAAGCACCAAGAATACAGAGCATGACTTGCCCCAGACCGAGAGTTCCTACCTATACCTTGTGGCTAATAGCCACCGATGGACCTCTGCTCCGTATGCTTATCTAATTCCCTCTTGAAGCCGTCCATGCTTGTAGCCGCTGCCACCTCCTGTGGCAGTGAATTCCATGTGTTAATCACTCTTTGGGTGAAGAAGTACTTCCTTTTATCTGTTCTAACCCGACTGCTCAGCAATTTCACGAGTTCTTGTATTGTGAGAGCTCATGAGAGCTCAGTGTACTCACAATTCTGACTACCACAAGTAGGGTTTTTTTTGGAGGGGGGCAGAAAAATCACACAAAGGAGAAGGAGGCCCATTGGCTATGGGAGGCCCTGTCTCCTCCAGGCCATGGTTCCTGCCTTTCGCCATCTGCACATCCCCACCCAGAAGAACCCCAAGGCCTCCAAAAGGGGAGAGGAGGGGGTTGCAGAGGAGAAAGACGCAGCAAGGGGAATAGGACTCACTGGGTATTTTGCAAGATGGTGTGGACAATCGCTGGATTTGTTTCCATGGAAGCCGTCACCAAGGAAGTCAAGAGCGACCAGTACCAGATCGCTGAAGCGTCACAGACCGAGACCCCGCCCTTCCTCACTCTCTGGTAGCCGATAGCTCTGAGCCCGTGAATTCTGGTATCGCATCCATCGCTAAGGCAACGTTTGATGTTTATCTGCACATCTGTCAAAGAGCATCAAACAAGGGTAATTTCTTCCAGCCTCGCTTTGCCTCTCATACAGCTCTGGTCATTGCAATGAGGCTTTGCATGGAGAGAACATCCCAGCAGAATCTGCACAAGAGGTCAGATCTGGCCCTGACTTTGTCACCCTCGGTAGCCCCCAAAATACATCGTCGCAGGCAGAGGTCTTATTTTGCCTCATGGTAATCAGTCCACTGCTGCACATTCATTTCAAAAGAAAGGCAATCCACCTCTGAAAGGAGCCCGGCTCCCTCATCCCAAACAAACTCACTGCTCTTCATACAAAATCATTCTCTAACCTAAAAGATGTCTGAAGTCCAGAAGCAGAGATGGAGATGAGCCCGTGGGGGGGTGGGGTACGACACCAGTTTGTTCCACTTCCAAGCGGGTTTCCTCCAGTTGTTCCAACAGTTAGGCATGTTAATGTTGTCAAAGGAATGAGTTCAGCTTTGACAAGAAATTAAATATGGTGTATAATTCAGGTTCCCCCAAATATCTGTTTTTTGCCCGGAAAGCTCAGAGCAAGACTCCCCCCCCCCCATATCTCCATAAATTCTAGAACTTCCATTTATTTAGTAAATTTCTATGCTGCTGCTTCTCCAGACAAGTTGTCCAAGAAGGGTTTTTAATCCCTTTAGTCACATATAAATGTATTAATTTAAATGTTATATGTTCATTCAGAATAAAGAAGAAAGATTCCTAGTTCAAAAGTAATCAGTCAAGATACATGACTGCTGCCCAATGGCCCTTCCAACAGACACTGAGATCCACACAGAATTCCAACAACGGATTAAGCTGCAGTCACAGGCACAACAGCTTCCAAGTAGCAATAGCCGCATTTCATTTAGGGTGTTTTTGTACAGATTGTTGGCGACATCACATTAGGAGGTGACTGCAGCAAAGACAGTGATTTGTAAAATGGGAAAATTTCACTTCAGTACCAGGTAACGGACAACAAACCCTTGAGCAGGCAGATCTATTTCACCTTCATCCCACCTGTCCTCCAAGAAGCTCAGGGCACTGCACATATTTCTCCCGGCCTCCATTAAATCCTTGCACCAACCCTTTAAGGCAGGTGAAGACAAGAAAGTGAGACTGTACCAGCCTCACCTGGGCCTCCTGCTCCTCAACCCAGCACTTTAACCACCACACCACTATGGAATTCGGGCTCCACAAAAATAATTGAGGCACTGGGGTAGCCCTGAAAACATTTACAAGTGCAATGCATGATTTAAACTAGATTTGATTCTTGGAGATTTTGCTGGGGTGTAGAGACTCCTTCTAGAAGGCAGGTGCATAGAAGCAGAGAAGATACACTGGCACAGTTTGCTTAAGGACAGTAAATTACAAAACTGCTTCCGATTTCAATGCTTTACAAATGCAACACCGAACTCTAATGCCTAGATTTCTCTAGTATGGCTCTCTGGCATCTTGGTTATCAGGGAGCGAAAACAATAGTTAAGCAGAGACTTTGGGACACCTCCCTTCAACTGCATAGAGCTTGAGCTCATCTTGTCCCGGCAGTGGGGAACTGCAACTAAACCTTTGTCCCATCGACATACCTCTATACGCTGGAATTCCCCAAACATCGCAGAGCTTTTACTCTTGCTCGATTAAACATTCTTCCATCTGCCCCTCCTTGAAGGGAAATTCGCCCGTATTTCATATGAAAAGCGTCTCTGCACATGCCACTCCGGTATGGTGGAAACAACTGAGCACATTCTCTTATACTGTTGATTCTACCAGAACATTCGAAATGGGATATAATTGGGATAATATATTCAAGCACCCAGGTAGACCTAACCATTTTTATATTTTGCTGCTTCTTGGAAATCGCTGTCACAAAATTACTTTTGAAGTAGCCAGATTTTGTGCCAGGGCACGTATAATTAGACAGAAGAAGATTGTTTGTTTTAACAAATTTTAACCAAGCACTGTATTTTAAGCCCAGTATATTTATGTCAAGCAACCAATGTAACAATGTAATTAAGGTAATGTTTGTCGATTATTTTGATTGTCTTCTCTGAGCTTGGATTGTAATAAACTTGACAAATGTAACACGTTCCCTGGTGGCACAACTGCACTTCATCCGAGCCCTAGATCCTGTAATCTCAGCTCTGAAAAAAGTTACTTTAAAGAAACCAGAAACATCAATTGCATTGTTATTGACTCACACATCTGACTAATGTTAGCGTTTTCCAACAATGTCACGTAGCCGGTGACATTGCTTGGAATGTGAACATCGCGGACCTCCTGAAGATTGCTGGCAGTCCTTCCAACTGCTACTGTGACTTGCTGCGGCATGTAACTCTGGTCGTTCGCTGCAACTGCAATGGAGAGGTGCCTCAGAATGACGTCTGGTTTCATCTTTAAACTGCGAGGCGAGAGAGAGAGAAATGCAACTATGAAGCGAAAGGATGAAAGGGGCATTGAACTTACCAAGATTGTGCGTTCTCATCAAATGGAGAGGAAGCCTGAAAGAACGTTCACTCCTCTTGCTCACTAGCGGGGCAGGACCAAGTAAATCCGAGAGACCTTGTCCCTTTTGGTGACCCCATATGCTCCCTGACCTCTTCTCCCTGGGGTCCGAGCAAGACATCTCCTTCAATGCTAGCTTAGCCCTGTTTTCCCATCACTTCCTTCTACACCCAGTTTGGCCTCTGTCGTGGCAGCAACAAGGTCAATGAGGGATCTGCATCCCACCCAGATCTGCTTCCGTTAGTGGCTGGAAGAGGAGCAGCTTGCACTACCTTTAAACTGCCAGTTTGGTGTAGTGGTTAGGTGTGCGGACTCTAATCTGGGAGAACTGGGTTTGATTCCCCACTCCTCCACTTGCCCCTGGCTGGGTGACCTTGAGCAAGCCATAGTTCTGGCACAGCTGTCCTTGAAAAAGAGCAGTTTCTGTCAAGAGCTCTCTCAGCCCCACCTACCTCACAGGGTGTCTGTTGTGGGGAGGGGAAGAGAAAAAGTGAGCCGCTCTGAGACTCCCTTGGATAGTGAAGGGCGGGGTATAAATCCAATCTCCTCCTTCTCTCCTCTCCTCCTATGAAGGGTAGAGATGCCACCCTTCCTGCTCTGCATTGAGCAAAAGGAAGAGAAAAGGGCCAGGGCTAAAAGCTTCATTTTCAAAAGGAACACCAATGGTAGAGAAGCTCCCGTCTGTGCAAAGCTGGCAACCTGGGGGGAGGGCTGGTGTAAGTGGGAAACAGTCTAGAGCGACAGGCGAGGATGGGGGTTCCCATCATAGCAGGAACAGATTAATGTAGATTTACAGGGCAGATTCACCGGGCGGTGACTTAAGAGAAAGTAAGATGAGTAACCCAACGAAACCCCTCTTCCACTAATTATCGGGGGGGGGGGAATCAAAGATATTCCCCCACAGGCTTCATCACTGCCGCATCTATGCAGCCAATCCTACAGCTCAGCAGTTCAAGCACCGATTTGTGCTGCTGCAGCTGAAGTCTGAGCCAAAGTCTGGCAATCAGGGCAGAGCTGGCACAAAACACGCCCCCCCCCTCCCCCATACAGTACATCTGCAAACAAAAAACAAACCTTAAAAAAGGCAAAAGTAGTGAATGGAAAAAAAATATGCTAATTCTCATAGCTCAAAACTGGAAAACGCCTGAAATCCCGACGGTAAGGCAATGGTTTTTAAAAGTTCGGGATGTTATAGTAACAGATAAACTGGCAATACAACTGTTAACGGTGGACACGTGTACAAAGCAATTCAATTTTATGGAAAAAATTGAAACACCACAGAATGCTTTACCTAAGAAATATATTAACTTTGCTTTCTATTGAATGTATACTTCTTAGCTATATACCTCAACACAATGTTGAAATAATAGTTCCTATGTAATTGTTATTTATTTCTTGTTAACTGTTAAATGTTTTCGTTGTTATTTAATCTTTGTTCTTTATAAAATTGAAAACTGGATAAATAAAAAGTTACACAAAAATGCTGCCCTTGTGAACATAAGTATCAGGAAGGCATTAACACGTTTCCAGTAACGTACATCTCTCCCAACACCCTGGAGGACAAAAGACCAGATTTAAAACACTTCGGTCCTGTTGTTTGACTCACAAAAGGTCCACATAGTAAGACAGACAACTAAAATGTGTTTAAGTCATGCAGAAATGTCACAAATTATAACCAAGCCAGCAAAAAGAGACTCATTCACATTCAGAAAATTCAAAGCCAAGCCCCAGCCATTCATGTAGATCTGCTCCCAAAGCCCTCCAAAACAGACTGGGCTTAGCCTGATGGGAAAATACAGTCTTTGAGGTCTATTGCATCTCATCAAATAACAATCAGATAAAGGTTTTCTGCTCTACTCATAGCCCAGTCCCAACATTTTGTTGTTGTTCAGTCGCACAGTCGAGTCCGACTCTTTGTGACCCCCCATGGACCAGATCACGCCAGGCCTTCCGGTCTTCCGCCGTCCTCTGAAGTTTGCTCAACTTCATGTTCATTGCATCTATGACACTGTCTAACCATCTCATCCTTTGCCGTCCCCCTTCCTCTTTGCAGTCTTTCCTAGCACCAGGGTCTTCTCCAGTGAGTGCTCCCTTCTCATTTGGTGGCCAAAGTATTTGAGCTTCAGTTTCATTATCTGGCCTTCCAGGGAACAGTCAGGGTTGATTTCTTTTAGGATTGACTGATTTGATCTTCTTGCAGTCCAACCGACTCTCAAGAGTCTTCTCCGGCACCATAGTTCAAAAGAATCTATTCTTCGGCGCTCGGCCTTAATGATTACATCGATCAGGCCTACACAGGTTGGACTTGGTGTACGTTGGCTCTGTACCAACTCATATGTTCAACATGCAGATCTCAAGTGAGCTTGGAAGGGCACAAGCCACTTCCCCTCTCCCATCACAGTACTTGAGAAATCCTAGACCCCAGATCCCAACAAGGAGTCTCTCGCTTACCGTATCCAGTGTGAACGGGCGCTCCCATCGGACTGCCAGAAGGAGGAAGTTTCCCCATTGGTCATTTTGTCAATATCAGCTGAGTTGGAGGAGGTTTCTATGTGAGTGTAACACTTGGAAACAGATTTAAGTTTGTCCAACTCCTGGTTTCCGTTTAAGTCATTAGGGCATTCTGTAAAAGCGAAACAAAGGAGCAAAAACAGGGTGATTACAAGTGATCCTAGTAGTTTTAACTTGCTTCTTGCTGTGTGTTCCTTCATCCATCTGCTTTATTGCTTTGGACAGACTGAGAGCCCTTTGGAGGAGGGCATCTAGTTTGTGCTTATTAATTTATTCAGTGTAAGGAATGTAGGAAGCACTACAGCTAGAAGACCTACAGAAACTTGATTCTCATACATAACAGATCACTAGATTGGGTGTACCTCCCATTTGTAACACCATGCTGAAATTAGCACCGTCAGTGCCAAATACATCAGTCTACTGCCAGGGTATGGTGTTCAAAGCTCCTTTGGTCAATTTTTGTTAGTTTAAGTCAACCCTACATCAAGAAAAATTCCTCCCCAGGATCACAAAACCTACTTTCTTTAGTTGCCACACAGTTTGTGACTATGGAAAAGATGAGTGCACATTTTACGACCAATGTTTCCCAAATTTCTGACAGTTAAGGAACCACTTCATTCTCACACCCCTCCCAAAAGTTGACCATCTGCCCTCATAAAGAGGGCATGCATGAGTCATGGAAAGGGGCAAATCCAAGGCAAACATTTGTGCACAGAGGCCACGCGCACTGCTCCTTGGAGGCCAAGTAATTCTGCTGTGCATCTGCATTAAGAATAACTCAGTGATCCAATGACACCCAATGCACAGATGCAGCAAAATAGCATGCAATTGATGAATATCGATCAGGAAAAGGCAAATCAAGAGCAAAGGAACATTCAGAGCCACAAGCCGTAGACTCCTCTGTGGGCAAGCACTTTGGGTTCACCAGAACACTTATCTGTCACCGCACAATAACTGTTCCCTTGAGGCACAGTATGAAAATTACTCATGTGCTTCCTTGACTCTAGACCCTGTAACAAACAAGGAAAACTAAGAAACTGCAGCTCTCTCATACCGCATCCCTGGCAGATCCAGGAGGGGGGAAGCTGTTTTTCTTAAGGGAAAGCTGACAGAGTTCTCAGGGACCCTTAATATGTTAAAGTTCCATGGCAATCTGGCTCTTGCCTAGCCCTGACAATGACATTTAAATTTCAGGGCTCTTTTTGTAGCAGGAACTCCTCTGCATATTAGGCAACACACCCTTAATGTAGCCAATCCTCCAAGAGCCCCTGTAAGAAGAGTTCTGTAAGCTCTTGGAGGATTGGCTACATTAGGGGTGTGTCGCCTAATATGCAGGAGTTCCTGCTACAAAAAGAGCCCTGAAAATACCCACAGCTGGAAAGGGGCATTCTACAAGCAAGTCCCTAAATCAACTTGGCTCTGGGGCTACTGGGGGAGAGAGCAGAACAAATGCGCGCCAGCCAAATAAGCAAGATGCTCAGCTGGTGGAGTTTCAAACCTGTAATAAACACCTCCCTCCCCAGGAGACCAAGAAGTTCCAATACCTTTTTCTTTTAAGATAAGCCGATCTAAGGAATCCTTCAGTACAGAAGAACGCATATTGCAAATGTTGTTGAAGTACTCCAAAACTGGATATGGGATGACAGAGCTGGCGATACGGTTCCGGTGCAGGAATCTCAGAAGCATGGAAGCATGAAGGCTACGGCACTCCTTCGATTCAGAAAATATGTCTATAAAACCTTGAGAGAGAGAGAGAAAGACATAGATGCTCTTAGGCTGGTGGATTCAGCTGTTGGCAGAAGAAAAGCTTCCCTGTAATCCAGTAAATAAATCCTGTGAATAAAGCAATACTTATTTCCGACCTTTGCTCCCTGCTGATTGGCTTGAATTGTCAGTTAATGAATCCAAAATGGAAACCACAAAAGTGCTTCCAAACAGCACTGGGGAAAACAAAAAACTAATGCACAACAAAAATCCTTGCAAGGTGTGTCTACATTTAAATGCTGCAAATCTGTGGGTAGCATCTGAGTTGTTGTAGACCCTAGGCACAACAGTTCAGACACCCGTGTAATTTCATAAGGCCACCAGCACATTAATCCAAATACAAAAAAGGGAAATGGATCAACAGCATACAGATTTGCCAATTAACGCCCTGCTGGCAGGATAAGCTATCCTAATGTGACAATGCAGAAACTCATTTTAACCTCTGATTTATTTCATATTCAAGAACTGAAGCAGAACTTGAACAAAGGTGATTAAAGAGACTTGCTCATCCAATATATAGCCTGCCAGAGGCAAATATTTAGTATGTATTTACAGCTTTTCCTAATTTGTTTTTCAAAATACTTCATGAAAAAACTTAGGGAACAATGGTGTGAGCAGATAGCCAAAAAGCTGTCTACTATACTAAATGACTCAGTTGTACTAGACAAGTGTAGTCAGCATGGTATAACAGTTAGCATATAAAATTTACGACCTCATATCCCCATTTACTCATGAAGCACTCTGGATGATCTTGGGCCAGTTGCTCTGAACTTAAAGCTAACCTAACTAACAAAGTTGTTGTGGAGTTAAAATGAAGTGATTGGGGGAAAGAAAGACCATGTACGGTGCCCTGCACTCCTTGAAATAAACCAAAACAAGCTTCCAGCACAAATTTCATGCTTTTTACTACTATACCACATCAGCTCTTGAAAAGATGAATAATTGACTTGGTGGTATAAGCTCTAAAGGAAAAAAGCTCAAAATGAGCAGGGCTTTCATGCTATGTGATTTCACAAGAAGCTTCCATTTCTAGAAACTTCTAGATTGGTTTGGCCAGGGATCCTGGAGATTTTTTGTCATCTTCTGGGCATGGAACAGCAGTCAGTGTGGATGAGGAGGGGGGTTGGACTAGATGACCCTGGATGTCCCTTCCAACTCTATGATTCTATGATTCTATAAGTAGTTCCTGAGAATATGCATGAAGCATCTTCCTAAAAGCCCCACAAGTTGGAGCTTCTGCAGCCTGCATGCCTACCTGTTCCTCCCTTGTTACCTTGAACCATATTTCTTGATAGTTTGCTCACTGTCAAAAATTTTCAAATCCTGCAATGTTTCAAATATTGACATTGCAAATACGGCATGCAGGTGAATGACTATACAAAAAGGAAGTCTGTTCACTCTATGGTTCCGTACATCAGGTGCTTTTTCTTTGCACAAAATTCCAGGCCTCTCTCACAGGATATGAAAACGGCCCTTTAAAATGGGTACCAGAGGTATTTCCAGACATCCGTCTTCCACAAAATCTTAGTAAATACTGAGCTCATTTACAACGCAAGTTATTTATTTTGGGCGTACCCAAACAGAGCTACTACAAGTATTACAGAAGGCTAACACTTTGTGAGTCACCATCTTACATTTTGGGAAAAAAACGGGAGTAAATAAAACATCAACTGTTGATGTGAACTGCACCACTGAACTAGGGCATCTCCAAGTGGAGCACTGACACGGCGTGTTAGTTCTGTGGCTCTGTGTGTCCAAAATCCAACCCAAAGGTCTCTGAGTGCAAGAAATGCCAACTCTTTTCCCACCCTCCCACTCTCTTACCTGGAACAAGTGAACAGGCCTGCAGCTGCCTGATCACATGACTAAGCTCTCCTTGCAGATTGGCTCCACTGGAGGTCTTGAGAAGCTCCAGCATATTCTCCACATCCACCGTGCCATCTCCCTCGGTATCAAACTGAGCCAAGGTTTAGGGAAAGAAGAGATGATCAGGGCAAATTGAGGAGACGACGCTTATTGAGCTCCCCACTTGTAAAGTCAGTCTGAGCTTTAAGAGCACTATCTGAAGCTCTGCTCCATGTCCTCCCCCACCTTCAGAAGTGGGGCAAGTAGCCACCAAGGACAGGGCTTTCTCTGTGGAATGTCCCCCCCCCCCCAACCCTCTGCAGAGATGACAATTTTCTGGTACCATGTTAAAAAGTTCTCATTTATGTGAGCTTTTGGCTACAATCCTAAGAGTATTTTCTGGCCGTAAGCCTCAATGAATAAAATGGGGCTCACTTCTTTCTTTCTTTCTTTATTTATTATTTATCTGAGTAGACCTATTTAGGATTGCTCTCCATGTAGATTACTAATTTGCTATTAGTCCCTCTGAGCCTTTAAATAATACAACCTGCATCGTATTAGAGAAACTTCTACCCCACTCCTCAGCCTCTAAGGCAGCTTACAACATGAGCCAATATTTAAAAAAGGTATCCTACAAGTTAAAACCCATCCTGACAACTCAAAAAAGAGTAAATCACAAAGCAGAGCAACCTTTCAAGCATTAAAAACAAGAACACAAAGTTCTCGTTTTCCAGTAATTTGGGTTTTTTTTGTTCAGTCGCACAGTCGAGTCCGACTCTTCGCGACCCCATGGACCAGATCGACCCCATGGACCAGATCACGCCAGGCCCTCCTGTCTTCCGCCGTCCTCTGAAGTTTGCTCAATTTCATGTTTGTTGCATCTATGACACTGTCTAACCATCTCATCCTTTGCCGTCCCTGTCTTCTTTGACCTTCAATTTGGTATCCAATGTTAAATTACATGGTCTAAAGCGGCAGAACGTTTGAGTCCAGTGGAACCTTTAAATAAACCAACAAAGTTTTATTCAAGATACGTGCTTGCTTGCTTTCCACCAGTCATTGTCTTTCTGTCTCTCTCTCTTTCTGTCTGTCTTTCTCCGTGTCTTTCTCTCTCTCTCTCTCTCTCTTTCTGACTTTTTCTTTCTCTCTCTGTCTGTTTACACAGAGTGTGAATAATACAGCAGATTCCAAGGTAACTTTAGCTTGTAATTAAATTGGGCAAAGTCTGGTTAAAATTTTCTTCAATTTTTAATGCAAGTTAAATATATGTTGCATTTATCAGCATACTCAGAGGGGTAGTGTTCCCATTCTGAAGACTCAGAACAAATTGGATAATGAAATGACGACTTCTAAATGAAATAGTGGCAGGAACATGCATGTTTTAACAGGGCGATGTCGGTGAAAGACATCAGTGATAAGTTCCATATCGTTCACAACTTTATAGTTAGTAGATCTTTCGGCTCATAAAGTAGAATTTCTGCTCACAAGACGACACAGCTTAGAGGGAACATTGTTTAGGACTGCCCTGTTTAATAGAAGTATGTTGCTAATCCCAGTTCCTAAAAGAACACAAAGATGCAGCACTTATAATCTAAAGCTAGCGCTATCTAAAAAGGAGCAAAAATACTAACTCTCAACCAATGTGAGATTTGGTAAACAAACATTGAACATCTTTCTAGTGCTGGATTTCGGTGGCCAGCCTCAAATCCCTGATAAAGCCACAAGACAGACTCACTGGACAGTTCTGAATAGCACCAACCTTCCCTGCCTTGTCTGTAGAAAAGGATCATTAAATAACCAACCCAGAACTATGTTAAGAATGATCAAGAGTATAAATCACTGAATTGTGAAACCATTAAAGCAGTGTCATCTATTGTCTAGTACAGACCTTCCTTGAGGACACATTTATATTGTGCAGAGGTGATTCATTGCCCAGTCTCTGCATCCAAGCTGTCAGCTTGGTGTAGTGGTCAAGAGCGGTGGACTCTAATCTGGAGAACCGGGTTTGATTCCCCACTGCTACGCATACTGCCAGCTGGGTGACCTTGGGCAAGCCACAGTTCTCGCAGAACTGTTCTCTCAAGAGCAATTCTCTCAGAGCTCTCTCAGCCTCACCTACCACAGGGTGTCTGTTGTGGGGAGAGGAAAGGAAAGGAGACTGTAAGCTGCTCTGAGACTCTGAGTGAAAGGCAGGGTATAAATCCAACTCTTTTTCTCCCCACCCCCTTTTCCTAACAGGTGTTCCACATCAAATGCTCCCATTCACTCCATAAAATATCCTTGTTTGATGTTGTAAGAACTGCCCTGAACAGACTAGTCATTTTAGTTCAGCACAGCCTCCTTCTGACTTCATTCTATAAAGAGCTAATATAACTGGGAACACAATGGTAAATCTACACAATAAAGCACACTGCAAAATTTGGCTACGCATATTGTAGAAAATATTCAGAATAACTGTGAAACCTACTAAAATACATACAAAAATCTTACAAATCCAAAAACACAATCATTACATACCAAGCTATTTCCAGTCTTCAATGCCTTGTAGATATTCCACCATGTAAACCGAACAGACTGTTTCAAGTTGATTGATATTGAATGGGAGTATGCATTCACCGTTTACATGGTAGAATATCTACATGGTGTTATAATATCGAAGATTGGAAATAGCTTGGTATGCAATGATTGCATTTTGGGATTTGTAAGATTTTTGTATGTATTCTAGTAGGTTTCACATTTATTCTGAATATTTTCAACAATATATGTAGCCAGATCTTTTACAGTGCGCTTTGCTATTGTGTTCATTCTATAAAGGACAGAACCATGATCGACTACCCTTGAAGAAATCACAAACGAGCTGCAATCACACCTCATAACAAGGAGCAACTCACCAAGCAAAAATGTAAAACTTCTAGCATGCTAAAACTGAACACAAAAATGTGACATTGGGCTTACAGCAGGACAGTACTGTAAATGAACTGAGGAGGGAGGAACAGAGGTCCCCACAGCATCCATTCTTGATAAAAGAGAGAATTTAATTTCAGCAACTGCTATGGTCCAGACTATAGCCCAGAGCAGGAAGTTACAGCCAACAACCTCCACAATTCTCCTCCGTGCCAACCGGCTGCACAAGTACCCTTGTTGATTGTACAGATTTGATGACAGCCCCACCCACAACAAACAAGGGCTTGGAGATATTTGTTTGAACTGTGATATTTGAGAGGTAACTCAGCCAAACATTGCTGTCAGTTGCGTGACTAGTGCTGCCTGCACCTGACCTTTGATACAAGATAATCAGACTCCATTTCAAGAGACTTTATCAGCGAAGATGTACTTGACACTCTGAGCCATTACAGAGAGAAGTGCAGAATGTGTGGAGTCAACACAACAATGGTATAACAACCAAGTTTAAAATATACTGTCCCACAGTATATTCAAACAACAAGGATGTAGCTTTAACTGATGAAAACAAACAGCTTTATGCCTTCCTGGAAACATGCAACAGACATTCACATTTATAGCCAATACATTCCCATGTTAGATTACAGCCAGTGTTCATCCATGTACACTGTTGTCCCCCACAAAGGGCACACAATGAAAACAACTAGGAAAGATACTTTGATGAAACAGTGGAGAACTAAAAATAAATATTCCTTTCCACTCAATGTTTCCTTGGATGCACTGCCCTACTGCCATGAACATACACACAAAATCCCAGAGCAACATACTCCGACTCATTGGGTAGCATTAAGAATACAACCACAACATAAGGGAACTGTACATATTGCATATACAGAATTAATCAGAATACTGAGGGCAGTTTTGAGGTTAGGAAATAAGAATTTGCAGAGCTGAGGCGAGAGGAATCTCTGAATCATCCCCAAACAACCACCCATGAGGGGGGAAAGAATCTATCAAAACCAAACAAATTGAGCTTCTGAAAACTGCAGTTTTAAGTATTTGTTTGAAAATAATTCAGGGCTTCTATATGTATTGTTTCAGAGAGGTGTTTGAAAATGCACAAGGAACCGCAGCCAAAAATCAGTGAGTCTTTGACCAAGGCTCAGAAAGATCTTTCCCATCCATCCCAACACCCAAGGTATCAGTTACAGACTGAGCCAGAAATCCTCTGTGTGCAAAACAAGCAGTTCAACGATGAACCATGATTATTTTCCTAATGTTATCCGAGTTAAACTTGAATCTGCAATCAGTAAAATGGAGAAGCCAGTCAAAAATTCTAGTCTAGTGGTGAGACTAAAACCTCACATTTGCAGAATTAAGACAGAAATTTCAAGCATTTCCTCTCCGCTTTCCACCCATTCTCCATCACATGCAGAAAGGTTCTCCCTTGTGGTTTCAGTATCCAGAATTACAAAGACAATAACTTGCTTCCAAAACAATGGTACTTTCAGTTCAGGAGTACTCGCTGCTACATGTAGTGAAAGTAATAAGGGGTAATTCCCAAATGTCCAGGCCTAATTCTGGGAAACCATTTGAACAAGCCCTGAAATAAACTGACCTGTTTTGGATAACAAGCCCTGTCATGCACAGACGAGCTTCTCACGGGAAAGGATTCCACAGCTTGGAAGCCACTTGTGAAAAGGCCCTAGTTCCTGCCCTCAGCGATGGCTTCACGAAGTTTGATAACTGAAGTTAACAGGCTCTTTTGAGTCACATATAAGCCTCTCCACCCATTAAGGTAATTTCACAAGTACTAAACGAGTACTCATAGGTTTTGGGAAAATGCTACAGACATTAAGTTTATAGCCGGTTAGAAGTATTTTCAACTCCAAATTAATAGCTCCTTACGATATGCAGGGCTTGCTCACACATTTTAGTTAATCTGCCTTGCCCGTGCATGCGTATTAACTGCTATCAAGTCACTTTTGACTTATGGTGACCCTATGAATTAACAGCCTCCAAAACATCCAATCGTGAACAGCTTTGCTCAGGTCTTGCAAAATGAGGGCCCTGGCTTCCTTGATTAAGTCAATCCATTTTACGCTGGGTCTTCCTCTTTTCTTGCTGCCTTCGACTGTTTCTAGCATTATTGCCTTCCCCAGTGACTATGATCTTCTCATAACATGACCAAAATACGATAGCCTGTTTAGT